GACACCCTGGAAGTAGCTCCTGGACTTGGACTAGGCTAATCCTGGCTATTATGGCCACTTAGATAGCAGACCAGTCAATGCTCACTCGCTCGCTCGCGCTCTCTTTCTTTCTCTCTCTGGATTTCCCTCTCTGTAACTAGGACTTTCACATAAACAAATAAATCTTATATAATATGTTTAATTTCCCTATATGTAAAATGAAGACAGCACCCACCTATCCCTCCTACGGCTCTGAGATATCTGAGAAGTCTAAGATTGCAAGACTTACTCAGAATCAAGAAATGTGTTTATTTAACCTATCTTTCATGTCTTCTTGATTTCAGTTAATTATGACATAGGACTTTCTTTGGTGAATAAAATATTAGCAGAAGTGACATGTCATTTCTAATGAGGAGATTCAGAAGCCAATGTATGTTTTGCTACATTTTCTTCAGCCTTACACAAGGATCGCAGGACACATGTTAGGATGGGGCCTCCGTGGATCTGGTCCTGGTGCCTGAGACCACATATGCATACACAGAGCTCCCCACTGACACCAATGGGACAGGGAGCATGAGACAGAGACACTGTTCACTGATTTCAGTCTCTGAGATTTGGAGATTGACACTTCAGTATTACCTGGACTAGAATTCCGGATGCGAGGGCCAGGCCACATCTGGGATCCAAATGGAAAATACAAAGAAACAATGGGTCAAGCAGAGGTGAATAAAGAAAGGTTTCTTGGAAGAGATGTTTTGGAGGAAATATCTTTAAAAAGAACTATCAAAAATAAGAGATGGGCATTACTGATGAAAAAAAAAAAGCTATTATACTCATATGGCTTAATATGAACCATACTTCAGAACCAAATAATTGGTAATAACCATGCAGTGTTTTCAGACATTATCAAAATATTAATCTCTCCTATACTATAATGCTTCAGTTGTCTTTAGGGAAAATCAATTCCTGTATTTCTGTGAGGTGCAGGTAATAAATGAAGACAAAACTACAAAGCCTTAACGTACAGACTTCCTTTCTCTAGGGAGACCCATTTGGTCTTTCATAACAGTACGTATCTGGATGAATCAAGAACTCTGACATAGGATTTGAAAGATGTCTGAATTTGCACACAGAAAGGAGACAGGCACAGGGATGCACAGAAATAAAAAAACAAATTCTTGTCAGCAAACATCCCCTGAGCCTCCCGAGCCTCCGTGTTCTGTTTGGATGCCATTTGAAAGTCTTGATAACATGAGGTGTGTCCGCATCTGGATAGAACCCACACCTCCAAATGGTGCTATGCAAAGTGAGCCAGCAGGCATTGCTGAGTGGAAAGATACCTGAGCAGAATGACATATCAGCCAAAGAAAGACTGCCAAACAATGAGGCCTTTGATGGAGAGTGTAAGGACTTCCCAATAGGACTAATCAGCTATATTGAAAGTTGTAGCTCCATTAGAAAGGTGAGGTGGGGCGCAGGGGAGGAATGAAGAAAAAAGTCTCATGGAGCTGCTTCTCCAGCACTGGGGAGAGAAACCCAAAGGAGAGCTGTTCACCATGGTTTCCAGCCCAGTCAGGTCCAACTGCCGAGCGTGGGGAAGGTGACATCAACACAGGGGCAGCATTTTTATTGGCACCAGTTCAGAGCACGCTGCCACCCCTGCTTTGAATAGTCCATTGGTCAGTCTGGGTGTGGCTACTCTTTTGAAAGTAGAGTCTTGAGGAAGTAGGCCAAGTGAGCCAATGTTGTGATTCTGAGCGTGATTGAGTCCAGGTGTGAATTATGTGTGTGTTGCTTTACAGTTGATGTTTTGCTGACACAGAGTGCCACCTACTGAGTCACAAACCAGCATTTCTGGTTACCCCAACTGACCAGCTGGATTGGACTCTGCTTCCAACAGGCTGAGCCAGGCAAGCAAACCGCCTGCTGAGCCAAGCCTCAGCGACTGATGAAAGCATGAAATTAGTGCAAGAAAGACAGGTGGCCAGGGTTAGGACCAGTAATCTAAGAGACACTATCTGCATGAGCAAATGAGAACTTGAAAGTAAGGACCCATGGGATGGTCAGAGGAACCAATCAGGGGGCTGAGAGGAGACTGCACAAACAACGGTTCTCACAGAACCAGTTCCTCCCTCTATGACCATTACATGTCTCCAAGTCCACGTCCCCTTCTTCCTGGGCAAACAACTTGGGCTCCCATTTTCCAGGTTCCCTTAATGCGCAGTGTGACTATTAGTTCTGGGACGTGACAGCCAACGAAGTGTGTCACTTCCAGGCATGTCCTATAAAAGCTTTCACTTTACCATCCCCTTCTCTCCTCCTGGTAGCCTGGAGTGGTGACATTGGTGGCCACATATTACAGATGAGATTTTGCAGCTGGCATTGTGGCATTACAGATAGGGAACTGATGGGAGTCTCACCTGCCCCACTTCCAATCCAGCTCTCTGCTAATACATCTGGGGAAACAGCAAAAGATAGTCCAATATTTGACACCTGCATCCATGTGGGAGATGTAGATAAAAATCCTGTTTCCTGGCTTCAATCTGACCCACACCTTGCTATTATGGCCCTTTGAGGAGTGAACCAGTGGATGGAAAATCTCCCTCTGACTCTTTCAAATGAATAAATATATTTTTTTAAAAAGGTACCTCTGTAGTTAGCTAGGGTCTCTACAGCGCTCTCCTTCCTCCTTTCCTATCTCTACTTGCTGCCTTGAAGCCCTTTGGTCATGGAAAATGGGAGAGAAATAAATTCCTGTTCTTTAAGTTGCTGAATTTGGGGGAGCTTTGCTATAGCCACAAGGCCTGCCCTGACTGCAGTTCTTGTCACACTTTGGACATCATCCGACTCTCCCTGTAGAAGCTGTCTTCCGTAAGCCAGGGTGTAACTCCTGCAGTTCCTGATTCACAGTGAGCGGAGGTGACCAGTGGAATTTCACCAGTTTCCTTCTTAGTCTCGCCTCTCGCTCCCACATTGCTCTGCAGATCTCAAGCACACTGTCCGCTCCCTTCCCCAACTTCTCCAACCTCAGCATTTCCTTAGGAAGCATCCTGTACCAATCCCTCACCAAATGGTTCACACTTGTTTGAGGCTGATTATTCCTCATTCTTCACATTTCAGGCAGGACCTCATGACCCTGGAGATCACCTCCCGATTCGTCCAAGGCTGTGCTGAGTGGTTTTGTGCCCTCCTCCTCCCAGCTCCCTGGCCTGTAGAGAACCTGGCATTAGATCACAGGTGCTTACGACGTCCACTCCTGAACCTTGGCTCCCTGAGAACATGATTCATAACTGAGCATCCAGCACCTGTCTTGGGAACTGGAGTGAAATATTTGCTCCTGCAGTGACCATCCAAACTCTGATAGGATCTGAGATGATGCTTGAGAATGATGCCTTATCTTACCCGTTTTTCCTTTTGTTTAGATTTTGTTTTTATTGCAAAGACAAATATACAGAGAGGAGAAAGGACAGGAGGAAAGGTCTTCTATCTGCTGATCCACTCCCCAAGTAGCCATAATGGCTGGAGCTGAGCCAGTTTAAAGCCAGGAGCCAGGAGCTTCTTCCAGGTCTCCCATGCAGGTGCAGGGTCCCAATGCTCTGGGCCATCCTCAACTGCTTTCCCAAGCCACAAGTAGGAAACTGGATTGAAAGTGATGCAGCTGGCACATAAAGCAGCATGCGTATGGGATCCTGGCGTATTCAAGGCAAGGAGTTAGCTGCTGAGCCATCACATCAGGCCCTATTTGTTTTTCCAATTGCTCTGTTTAATGCAGGTTGATATTACTGGTACATAACTGTTGAGAAACTATTTTCTTTGAGAATGACTTGCATTTTGGAAAATCTGGATGAAATTTTGATACCTGGCCTTATATTTGCATTTTAGCCTTAAAGTGGTTCCCTTTTGTCAGCTCTCCCAGTACTTCCATACGCAGAGGAAGAACAGTTTTTCAGGACTGACGTTATGGCTTGGTGAGAAAACCCACCATGCCTACAGTGCTGGCATCCTACATGAGAGCTGGTTCGTGTCCCAGTGGCTTTACTTCCTATCCAGCTCCCTGCTGGTGGCCTGGCAAAGCAGCAGAAGATGGCCCTGGCGTTCGGGCCACTATTCCCTTTGTAGGAAACCTGGATGAAGCGCCAGACTACTAGGTTTGTTTTGGCCCAGCCTTGGTCCTTGCTGCAATTTGTAGTGAATACCATCAGATGGAAGATCTTTCTGTTTGTGTATCTCTCCCACTTTCTCTCTCTCTGTAACTCTGGCTTTCAAAAAATAAATCTTCTAACAAAGGAAGTACAATTTTTCCCATGAGTGATCATTGGAACAATCCAGAAAGGTCATTGTAGAGGAAATAAAAGTGGCACCGATGCAAAATAGTTTTCATAAATAAGGTGGCTTCAGGTCAGAAATGAGGCCAAAGTGTTCATCTGAAGCATAGTAGATTTCGGTGGAATATCAACTCCTCTAGGCTAGCAAATAAAAATCTGTTATCAGAAAAGATCGGTGGCTTCTTTCCTCAGCTTGATTTGGAAATAAAAAGCCAGGAACCGGTTGCAGACAGTGAAGTTTTATTTGTAAAGTGATCAGGTGAGTGGGGAAAGAAGAGGGAACAGGAGAACCAGGAGGTGGCATGCCTCTGGAGAGGAGAAAGGGAGAGACGCCAACCGAGGAAGGTCTTGGGATTTGAAGCATTCTCTGACTCTCTCTTTGTTGGGTGGGAACCTGCAGGTAAAAGGTTCCTATTGGTGATCTCTTAACCAGTTAGGAAATGGGTGGGCAATTCTTGTCCCACCTACTTGAAGGTATGGCCAAGATTTTATCAGGCTTGGATGGTCTCACCAACCAATATTTCTAGATTTGTGGAAGCCTGTTAAAAGAAGCTGGTGCAAACTGTGAAAAGATATGTATTTGTACAACTACATGTACACAAATATTCTGGTACTAGAATTTGCAGAGCTAAGTCAAAGAAGGTAGAGAAGGGACACAGAGCAAAGAAAATCCTATTTTTGTTGATACTTTGTTTTTAAAATAAGGAACGCTTCATGAATTGGCATGTCATCCTTCCGCAGGGGCCATGCTAATCTTCTCCGTATCGTTCCAATTTTAGTATATGTACTGCCAAAGCAAGCACTTTGTTGATACTTTGAGATATTATAGTATACTGCTTTATGTGAGAGATAATTTTTAAAAATATTTATACATTTTTTTCTAGAGGGGACTGGAGGGAAGACAGTCCTGGGTCAAATTCACAGGATAAGCGCTGCTAGAAATTACAGGTGATTTTGTGGGGTCAGTCTTAATTGGAAGAAACAGAAAGCAACTGATATCACTGTGAAAACTTCTAGGGTACTCCAGAGAGCTTTTCTAACCCCCACCCCATCACACACACACACACACACACACACACACACACACACACACACACACACACACTTTTTAGGAAAAAAAATTGTATCTGTTTCTTACTTGAAAGTCAAAATTACAGAGAGGTCTTCCATACTCACTCCCAAAATGGCTGTGACAGCCAGAGTTGTACCAATCCAAACCCAGGAGTCAAGAGTTTCTTTCAGGACTCCCACGTGGCCATAGGGGCCCAAAGACTTGAGCTATCCTCCGCTGCTTTCCCAGGCCATTAGCATGGAGCTGGATAGGAAGTGGAGCAGCTGGGACTAGAACCAGCACCATTTGGGATGCCAGTATCACAGGTGGAGGATTAGCCTGTTGCACCACAGTGCCAGCCCCTTGCTAACCTCTTTTTTAAAATCGCTTATAAGAGTGTATGTTGGTCAACATACTTGAAGACCAAGAAAGAAGATCCATGGCTTAGAAAACAGAATAGATCTTAAATCTTGATCTTACAAGAAAATGTCAAAGCAGACATTAAGTCACAATCAGATAAATGAACATAGGAGGGGGGCATCTCCCTTTCCAGGAACCTCAGGAAATGTTTTCTGAAGCTATTCAAAGGCATAAGTTATATTGAACCAGGAAAAGGAACCAAGGGTGATAGAAATTGGGCAAGCAGTTGATCTACGGTGAGGCTCTTATCATAGGAGTTTCACACATTGATACAATGGCCACTTCAGCTTGCAATAAAAGCATTTAGCAAATCTGAGTTTGGTCAGCAGAGGGCAGTGTGGTCGATAGCAAACGGCTGGGACTTCTCAAGAGTTTGACAGATTCAAGTGGCAACCCTGGCTCAGAAGCTGACTAAGGAACCTGGGACTGCCTGTGAGATCCAGGATGTTTTGAGAGGATGGACAACCAAGACAACCACCCCTCTGGTGAGTAAGCTTTAGACACATGAAGACAGGCATCCGTCTGTGCTTCAATTAAAAACAAAAACACAGGCAAGTAGGCAGCTGGTTCCTTTTTGATGACTCCAGAGACCCTTCCTGAATCTGTGGCTAGCACCCAGATTCCGTCCTGGTGAAAGCCTGCACCTGCACTTGTCTTTTGACACAATTGTGCAGAAGGCTGGCCCAGTGCATCACGGACTGTGAGAAAGCCAGCTAACCCAAACCCATTGCCAGCTGTTAGCCGAGAGCTTCCTACCCTGTTCTAAGGTGGGAGGACTGTGCTCCCTTCTTCATCCACTGTGCTCCCCTATCAGGAAGCTTCCCCTCTCAAAACAATTTGCTGTGTTACAAATGGTTTGCTTTGTCCCCATAGGCAGTTTGTTTACAATGGAAGTTTCTCTTGGAGCCCACTGCCCATCCGAACTGTGAAAAGAGGCCCTGCTGCTGTGTCTCGAGCTGATGGAGAGCAAGTTTTGAGAGGAGACACTAGTATAAGCTCAGAGATCTCACTGCCATACCCTAGCTCTGGGACAGACAGCTAGTCAGAAAGGCATGCTGTGGTTCTTGGGGGGCTGCTCAGTCGGGGTTCAAAGGAGCTTTCCTGCTGGACCTCCTCCCACCCCATGGAATATTCTAAGCTTATGAAAATGGAGCTCTCCATCGTGTTGCAGGCAGCATGCTTACCAGCATTCACACTGAGAAACGTCCATGGATGAAAGCCACGCTCTATTGTCTGGCTGCAGGCCCTGGAATAAACACAAGGGGGAGCTGGTGTGACTGCTGTCAGTGCTGCGAGCAGGCCTTCATCACTCTGACCTCCTCCAGGGCTCCTGAGTCGCGGCTCACTGCTGACGCCAACTGCTTTCCTGGCTCTAAACGCTGCGTCTTCCAGCTCGCCTTTGGGGTCGACCTTTCAGAGTTGGCAAACTTCAAATCCTAACCGTATCCTTGAATCTTGCTTCTCACTTGAGGGCTGCCCATTGCTTCTGCCTTACGTACCTGACCACAGAGGCTAGCACCCAGCCCCCAACAGCTCTGAGATGGCACACTGTTGCTTTTTTTCCTAATTTTTCTTCCACTTCATTTCCTTTGTTTTTCAAAGATTTATTTTATTTTTAATCGCAAAGTCAGATATACAGAGAGAAGGAGAGATAGAAAAGAAGACCTTCCATCCAAGGATCCACCCCCCAAGTGACCACAACAACTGGTGCTGCGCCGATCTGAAACCAGGAGCCAGGAACCTCCTCCCGGTCTCCCATGCGGGTGCAGGGTCCCAAGGCTTTGGGCTGTCCTCGACTGCTTTCCCAGGCCACAAGCAGGGAGCTGGATGGGAAGCAGGGCTGCCGGGATTAGAACCGGCCCCATATGGGATCCTGGCGCTTTTAAGGCGAGGACTTTAGCCACTAGGCCACCACACCGGGCCCATTTACCCATTTAATTTCAAAGAGTTCTTTTGACAGCTGGAATCCCTAGTTTTAAAGCAATGTCTATCTGAAGTTCGGCAGTTACATCAGTTTTATTTCAGTTTCTTTTTTTCCTTGTCAACGTCAAGCAAATATCAAGAGTTTTTTGCTCCTAAGATTGATTTGTTTATTCAATGCGGAGAAGAGGGACAAATCTCTTCCATCTGCTGGTACACTCCCCAAATACAACAGCCGAGCCAGGGTCAAGCAGAAGTGAGAAGCTCAGAACTCAGTCCACGTCTCCCGTGTGGATGGCCAGCTACCTGGGCCATCAGCAGTTACCTACCAGACACATTCGCAGGAACATCGATCAAAAATGCAGAGTAGCCAGGACTCAAATATGAAATGTAGGAGGTGCTCAAGTCTCATTTCAACCATTTTTCTTTTAAAATAGCAAGTATTGTAGACCTTGTTGGATGCAACTGCTGTATGAATCCACCGTTGATGGGCATGTAATTTGTTTCTAGAATGCACCTGTTATACACAAATGCTGCTATGAACATTCTCGTACGTGTATATAAGCTGCTCTTAAGAATATACACCTGTGGGCCTGGTGGCGTGGCCCAGCGGCTAAAGTCCTCGCCTTGAACACGCCAGGATCCCATATGGGCACCGGTTCTAATCCCAGCAGCTCCACTTCCCATCCAGCTCCCTGCTTGTGGCCTGGGAAAGCAGTCGAGTATGACCCAAAGCTTTGGGACCCTGCACCCGTGTGGGAGACCCGGAAGAGGTTCCTGGATCCTGGCTTCGGATCGGCATAGCATCGGCTGTTGCGCTCACTTCTTACTTGGGGAATGAATCATTGGACGGAAGATCTTCTTCTCTGTCTCTCCTCCTCTCTGTATATCTGACTTTCCAATAAATAAATAAATCTTTAAAAATAAATAAATAAATAAATAAATATACACCTGACTGGAAGTACTGGTTGTAACATGTGTATGTTCAACTTTATCAAATAAAACTTTTCCAAAGAGATTTTACCAATCTTAACTCCCTCACATAGCACAAAAGAATTCCCTTGCTCTGTATCTGTCCCATACATTTGATATTTTCAGAATTAATTTGTAGATTTGTAATAGGACCTCATTGCATTTTTAATTTTTAATTTGGTGCTAGTAAAACTCGGTAACTTTTCATGTGTTGATTTGCCTTGTAGATTTCCTCTTTTTATAAAGAGCCTGCTTAGATCTTTTGCCTATTTTCTGCTGGTCTGATCAATGTTTTCTTGCTGATTTCTCAGAATGTTAAAACTAGATTATGCAAATTAGATTCCAGTGGATGCAGTAGATGTAGCAGACTGGCCACTCCCAGGCTCAGCCCACATGCTGGCCAGTAGGTTGCTATAGTCCTGCACAGCCAGGCCTACCCCCAGTCCTAGCTCTCCTGTTCATCAATGGAAGCAGTGGCCAGGGAAGAGAGTCCCCAGAGTTCCCCTACCAGGCCCACTCCCAGCCCCAATTCTTGCATGTTCCAGCAGGTGCTGTGGCTCAGTCTGCCATGCCATGCCCTGCCCCCTATCTTGGCATTTGCCGGCTGGTGCTGCAGCCTGGTCCACCCCCAGTTCCAGCTCTCTCTGGTAGGTGCAGCAGCCTGGCCCAGCCTGCCTATCCCCAGCTCCTGCCCTCATGTAAACTGGCCTGTACTCTGTCCTGACTCTTGTTTGTGTCAGTGTGTGCTGTGGACTGGCCCAACCCAACCTCCCCACGGACTAGCCCACATATATGCCAGTGAGTCCTACAGCCCAGCCTGGCTTGGCCTATCCCCAGTTCTGGCTATTGCACTCTCCAGCAAGATCTGTAGCCTAGGAAAGAGTTCCTTAAGTTCTCCTACCAGGTCTATTCTCAGCTGGATCTTGCATGTGCCAGCAGGTTCTGCAGCCCGTTCTGATATGACCCACCCCCAGTGTCAACAATCATTGGCAGGTACTATAGCCCAGACTGACCAGCCTTCATCCATCTGGTTCTCACTGGTGGGTGCTACAGACTAGCCCAACCTGGCCCATCCCCCTATGCCTGGCTCTCATATGAACCAGCAGGTGCCACAGAGTAGCCCAGCAAGTCCCATCCCATGCCTGGCCTGCCCCAACACCTAGCTCACATGCACACTTGTAGCCTTATCCAGCTCCAGCTCTCACACTCATCAGTGGGAACTACAGCCCAGCAGATGGTCTGTGGAAGCTGCCAGAAGTCACTCCTCACCTATCAAGCATGCCCTCAGCTGTTCCCACTCAATACGTCTCCAGAATGCCTTCCCTGGAGCAGCACAGAGCCTCCCACCCCACCAGCCACATGGTGGTCCATGACATGCCTGAGGCCTAGGGTGGCATGTCCCCTGCCCCCTCTGCAGCAGCATACTAGAGTTCCCCACAT